TATTAAAAAACACCCTAAATATCAACAATATATCATCTTTTCTGACTCACTTTCTTGCCTTCAGGCTATTAAAAATCTTTCTTGTTAACATCCACTTTTATTAGAAATTATTGAATTGCACAATGACACTTGCTACTGGCCAATGCGACATCATCTTTTGCTGGTTACCCAGCCACGTTGGCATTTCTGGGAACACCATGGCTGATCTTGCTGCTAAGGCAGCACTCAACAAGTCTGTGACACCACTTCTTATCCCATATTCTGATTACAAAGCTAGCATTAGAACCTACATCCGTGATCTGATGCAGAAGAAGTGGGACACCCAAGTAGGTATTAATAAATTACATGCAATAAAACCCTACATTGGTTACACCTACTTGGGTTGTCAGTCCAGATTTGAAGAGGTCATTATGCGGCGATGCCGCATTGGCCATACTAGATATACTCATGAATATTTATTGAAAGGCGAAGATCTTCCGTTTTGCATCCCTTGTGATGAAAGAATCACAGTCAAGCATGTCTTGCTTGACTGCATTGAACATTCCATCACAAGGGATAACTATTTCAAAGTAAACACTATGAAGGATCTTTTTAATAATGTCAGTTCTCATTTAATTATTGCATTTTTAAAAGAATTAGATTTGTTAAGTGATTTGTAAATAGATATATATTTTATTATTGGTAGTTTAAATTATTAGCTGAGATTGTTAGTGGCTGTACCCTCTAGGGGGGGTGAAGTAGCGTAAAATTATTGTCCTCCTGAGAGGGTACGTAAATCCCAAAACATTTCAAGTCAGTTTAAGTGTACCAGGTTTTTAATCGTAGTATTTTTGTGTTTTTAATGTATGGCTAAATCTCAGCATCAACGCCAATGGCTGAAGGGATGGTTTAAATCCAGCTAGGGTCCATGCAGGTAGCAAAAGAAATGTAAGTCCCAATGGTTCCTAGTATGGTGATCTACCTTCAGTTGTTGGCGATCTTATATTGAATTGTCTTCTTTAATTGGAATATTTTAACTTTTCGCTAGTTTTATATTTATAACTGTGATTCTCTAGTCTTTTTACTGTCCATCGTCGACAGGTTTTTATCTTCAAAATGTTTCTACTTTTATTGTATGGCTTGTTTTCGTCACGATATGGCTGCAATATTGCCGGTGTGACGTTAAACATTAACTCACTCACACTCATTGTACTGCCACACTATCATTGTACAGCCACACTACCATTGTGCTGCCACACTATCATTGTACTAACACACTATCATTAATCTCCCACACTATCATTGTACTGCCACTCTCTAATTCTGCAGCTACACTATAATTGCATTGCCACACTAGCATTGCACTGTCACACTATCATTGTACTGCCACACTATCATTGTGCTGCCACATTATCATTGTGCTGCCACACTATCATTTTACTGACACTATACTTGTACTGCCACACTATCAATGTACTGCCACACTATCATTGTACTGCCACACTATCATTTTACTGCAACACTATCACTGTACTGCCACACTATCATTGCACTGCCACACTACCATTGTACTGCCACACTATCATTGTACTGCCACACTGCCATTCTCTAGACTCACTTTCATTGTGCTATCGCACTATCATTGTACTGCCACACTATCATTGTACTGCCACACTGCCATTCTCCGACCACACTATCACTGTACTGCCACACTATCATTGTGCTGTCACACTACCATTGTACTGCCACACTATCATTGTGAAGCGACACTACCATTGTGCTGCCACACTACCATTGTGCTGCCACACTATCATTGTAATGCCACACTACAATTCTCAAGCCTTACTATCATTGTGCTGTCGCACTGTCATTGTACTGCCACACTATCATTGTACACCCACACTATTATTGTGGTGCCACACTGACATTGTACTGCCACACTATCAATATGAGGCCAAACTATCATTGTACTGCCAAGCTGTCATTGTGCTGCCACGCTATCATTGTACAGCCACACTATCATTGTGCTGCCACACTATCATTGTACTGACATACTATAATTAAACTCCCACACTATCATTGTACTGCAACTCTCTAATTCTGCAGCCACACTATCATTGTACTGCCACATTATCATTGTACTGCCACACTATCATTGTACTGCCACACTTCAATTGTACTGCCACACTACCAATCTCCAGCTACACTATCATTCTACTGCCACATTACCATTCTACACCCACACTATCATTGTGCTGTCGCACTATCGTTGTGCTGCCACACTACCATTGTACTGCCACACTATCATTGTACTGCCACATTACCATTGTACTGTCACACTATCATTGTGCTGCAACACTACCATTGTGCTGCCACACTACCATTGTGCTGCCACACTACCATTCTCCAGCCTCACTATCATTGTGCTGTCGCACTGTCATTGTACTGCTACACTATCCTTGTGCTGCCACAGTATCATTGTACTGCCACACTACCATTCTCCAGCAACGCTTTAATTGTACTGTCACACTATCATTGTGCTGCCTCACTAGCATTGTACTATCACACTATCATTGTGCTGCCACACTACCATTGTACTGCCACATTAACATTGTACTGCCACACTACCATTCTCCAGCCACACTGTCATTGTACAGCCACACTACCATTCTCCAGCCACACTATTATTGTACTGCCACACTATCATTGTACTACCACACTATCATTGTACTACCTCACTATCATTGTACTGCCACACTATCATTGTACTGCCACACTACCATTCTTCAGTCTCACTATCATTGTAATGCCACACTATCATTGTGCTGCCACACTTCCATTGTAGTGCAACACTACCATTCTCCAGCTTCACTATTATTGTACTGCCACACTACCATTTTCCACCCACACTATCATTGTGCTGTCGCACTATCATTGTGCTGACACACTATCATTAAGCTGACACACTATCATTGTACTGCCACACTATCATTGTACTACCACACCCTCATTGTACTACCACACTCTCATTGTACTATCACACTATCATTGAACTGCCACATTATCACTGTACCGCCACACTACCATTGTACTGCCACACTATCATTGTTCTGCAACACTATCACTGTACTGCCACACTATCATTGCACTGCCACACTACCACTGTACTGTCACACTATCATTGTACTGCCACACTACCATTGTACTGCCACCCTACCATTGTACTGCCACACTACCATTGTACTGCCACACTATCATTGCACTGCCACACTATCATTGTACTGCCACACTATCATTGTACTGCCACACTATCATTGTGCTGCCACACTATCATTGTACTGCCACACTATCATTGTACTGCCTCACTATCATTGTAGTGCCAACTACCATTGCACTGCCACACTACCACTGTACTGCCACACTATCATAGTGCTGCCACACTACCATTGTACTGCAACACTACCATTGTGCTGACACCCTACCATTGTGCTGCCACACTACCATTCTCCAGCCTCACTATCATTGTGCTGTCGCACTGTCATTGTACTGCCTCACTATCATTGTGCTGCCACATTATCATTGCACTGCCACACTATCATTGTAATGCCACACTACCATTCTCCAGCCACACTATAATTGTACTGTCACACTATCAGTGTACTGCCTCACTATCATTGTACTACGACTATATCATTGTGCTGGCACACTACCATTTTACTACCACACTATCATTGTACAGCCACACTACCATTCTCCAGCCACACTATCATTGTACAGCAACACTACCATTCTCCACCCACACTATTATTGTGCTGTCACACTACCTTTGTGCTGCCACACTATCATTGTGCTGCCTCGCTATCATTCTACTGCCACACTATCACTGTGCTGCCACACTATCATTGTACTACTACACTACCATTGTACTGCCAAACTATCTTTACAGCCACACTATTATTGTGCTGCCACACTATCATTGAACTGTCATCTTCATATATATATTACACACATTACCGGGAGTGTGCGCTACATACATACTACACACATTTGTAAATTTGAAGACAGAGGGATGTAGAAAGTCTATCTGTTGAACGTGTGGACTTGCTTATTTGGAATGGTTTAGCAGGCGGAAAATGTTTGACTGATTCCGTTGTTTATCGTAAGCCTTTCTATTTGGTTTTGCTCAAAAGTTGGAGGTTCTTAGTAACACTACGAGCCCTGTGTGCTCTTGCGTTGTAATCTTGAAACAAATGGCATCGCGTGTGCATCCAGGATGTTGTTAAAGGGAGTATGATGATATACATTTTGCAATTTTCTCCTAACTTTCTTAAATGTACATTGAACAATGTATTACTTCATGACACTTTTACTCATTTGTAACCAGCTGTAATGCAGCCCTTTTACTTCCATTTAACAGTTGACCTAATAAAGTATATACCTTTTTTCTCCCAAACTTCGGATACTTCTCACAATATTTTACAAAAACAGCTATCATCAAGCATTACATACCAATGATACCAGGTTTGAATATCGTCCCATGTCTTGAACAAGAGAAAACGACTTTATCAGTGAAGACGTCAAATTTGCAATTGAATATCACTAGACAAGATTATTTACCTTTTCAGTTGGATCATCAGAATTTCTGGTTTGTATTTCCGGTATCTGTTGTATAGTTTACTGATCTACTGATTGTGAAACATTGAATATGAAGCCACTGTATGTTCACTGGTGCTAGTTTTTACCATGATGATGACCATTGGACGCTTTGCGATTTTCAGATGACATATTGCGAGTTCACACACAAACAATGGATGAACTCAAACTGTATGATAAGCAGAATCAGTGGGACATTACAAAGAATGTATGCCACCCACATAATACACACATTCCACACATATTACACATTCCTTGTCAACATTGTTCCTTGTTATGATATTTGATATTTACTTTTATGTTTCATGATCAACTACTGTAATTAAGAATATATGTCATGACTGCTAAACATGGTGTTTGTAAATCAGGTAAACCAGCACTTACATTCGTCGTCAAATTTGTTGCTGAACAACTGCTGTCCTTTGCCTTCGACCAACTTCTAAACGAGTTAACACCTGGTGATTCCTCTGACAATGATGATCTGGGCAGAATTTTAGACTCACTATCCAGAATTGAGGTAAGAATTAGTAATTTTATGCTGCATTAGAAACTATATGTTGAGCTTACCTTAGTAAACATTGTGGTTACAACTTGTGTTAGCTTCCATTTTCGACCATCCCCCGTGGAAGGTTCATTATTTGACCCGGACGATCAATTCACTCCAATTTCCAACTGTCCGAAGGATTAACCTCTTCTTAGAGTTTAATTGTACCTCTCTGGTCTGCATATCTTCCTTTGTTCTCTTCTTTTAGCATAGTTTACAGAAATGTGGCTCTAGTTCTCGTGGGTCTCACGCCTCCAGGTTTTGCATTCTAGGTCCAGCAATATCATCATGTTCAAATAGCTTTACTCTTGCAAATTTAACTTTCGTTATTCTGTTATCCACTAGTAAACTATACTCAGCAAAACTGAAAACTTTACACTGATAAATTTCGACATTTTTCTTTTTCTGTTTAATCAGTATATTAAACAGTAGTAAACAGGGTGAATGCTTTAATTTCATGAAATGGTAATTTCACGAGCTAACCTTGAAGTTGTAGCCTATAAAGATGAAAACCACGAAATGCAAATGGAAAGCAAATTCACGAAGTCAATTGGTACATGTTTGCTTAAACTGAACCCGCACATTGAATGTGAGCTAGAAAAAATAAATTAAGCTTTTCATTTCAATCTTTATTTGGAAATGCGACGCCTTTCAGTTAATGAAAAAGTCAACGTGCTATGGGGAGGCTTCATGGTGGTCAGTCTGTGGTCTGTGCAAGGGCCTTTAATTGCTCACGATAAACAATTTTTAGAATCTTAGAATGAGAGTGCATAAAAACCGGAACCTTTGCCGACGGCCGGAGACCGGGAGCGTCACGTCTGTCCACTGCGGGAAGATCAAGCAATACGACTGCGTCATCTTCGGAACAGACTGCTACTGCAACTTCCACAAGTAGGGAGATGTTTGGTGGAAGAATAACTGCCCAAACTGTCAGAAATAGATTGCGCGCCGCTGGACCAATTTTAACACCGACTGGTGTTGGCCACAAGACACATAAGGTTCAATCAAAGACAAAAGAATTCGGTTGTCTTCAGCGACGAGTGTACCGCAGGCGAGGTGAACGTCATGCTCAAGTCTACGTCCGTGAAGTGGACACATTCAGTGGCAGTAGCGTAATGGTTAGGTATGTGGTTCGTTTTGCGCACACCGACATTTTCCCCTTGATGTCGTTCGAGGGAACGTAATTGATGCCCAGTACATTGATCAAATCTGTACCTGCTTATATTTGTGCAGAGACATGGCCCTGGACTAACGTTCCAACAAGACAATGCTAGACCACATACAGCAGTTCTTACAGAGAATGTTCTACGAAATGCCGGTATTTAAGTTCTTGGTTGGCCGTCGCGTAGCACCAACCGTTGCACCATTGTTACTTACAACATATTCAAGGATGTACACGAACATGTCTTTTCAGTAAGAGCCTGGCGCACCTTTACCGTTAGTATATCTAGAAACACCCCGCGGGAGATGAGTCTCTACAATGGCTCTTCTATAGGTCCCATGAAATCCATTATTGAAGGATGTTTCAGTACCAGCAACGCAATCTTTAAGTCTCAGGAATGTGTCAGTTTAGGACGCGTTTTACCTCTGCTCTTTCGACCATTGGTGATGGCGTAGTACCTCTCCGCCTCTCGCCGTTGGTGTCAAGGAACAGGTATTGTGTCTACACATGTTTTGGTACAGGACTTTTAAGTTAATATGATCTTCATTTCTCTTCTGTGCCTAGAGACCCCGTTCCCACTCGTGAGGAGCATGTTCCTCATTAGTGGAACAGTACAAAACTTATAAGCAGGACCAAACTGTATAGACTAGTTCTAACATAGTTATCTATATTTTCAACAGTTCAATATACAAACATCTCTGTTGAAACCAACTCCAGAAAAACCTGACCACCAGGCATCTTCCTAGAATACATTTTGCCTCTAGTCACCAATTTTGAGAATACTGTCAGAATAATTAGGAGGCGTTTTACAGTGGACACAGTGATTCCACCGACCAATCGAACAGTTCACCTCTGACGGAAAACCACAACTGGCCGCTTTAGTATCGCCTGTCGGTCGGAAACCTTCGGATCTGAAAGAATCTGGTAAGCCGGCTGTATAAATAGCCTCTTTTTCGCAACTCCACTCCCATTGAGTGTCTCCCATCCATCTGTCTGGCTTATCATCATTGCTGTCCTGGTAATATAAGCCTTTAGAGTTCTGACTAGACAGATCTTCTCAATCGAAGCAGATTGCACTGTCACCGTAAACCCTGATCGAGTTGTATCATTCTTAATACCAAAAATGAGATTTTCACTGACTGGTTGTCCTCAAATATCAGTTCATCACATGAAAAACGAAGGCTTCCTTGCCTTGCTTCTCCGGTTATGGATATAACTACGGGCCTCAAACGCATACAAGGGCCAGCAGAGTGATACACTTCAAAGGCAAGTCTTTCAGTGATAGCATGTCATTACCTGCCCATATCATAAATAAATATCTAAATGCCTCTTTTGGCATAACCTTGGACTTCCTCATTGGAATTAGAGTTCCAGTTTTCAGTAGCCCATCTACTAGTCTCCTAATGCTTGGAGTAATCTGAGACTCAATGTCGCCAACCTTATAGACTGCAGATAAAGCTGCAAGTGCTGTCTTTAACACAGGCTGAGGTCTAGAAGAGTGAGTGAGTGAGTTAAAATTTAACGTCACATCGACAATATTGCAGCCATATCGTGACGAGAACAGTGGATATCAATATTCAAATCAATAAATGTATAGCGTAAAAGGACAGTAAAACTTCTAGAATATCACAGTTCTTAATTTAAAACTGGTACGCTATCATAAAAATATATCACGAGAGACAACGGTGCAATATAAGAACGGGCTATAGATCACCAACAACTGAAGGTTGATCACCATACTAAGGACCATGGGGACTTACAGTACCTTTGCTACCTACATGGACCCTAGTTGGATTTACATTATCCCTTCAGCAGCCGGCGATTGTAGTCAAATTTAGCCTTATTAAAATAACAAATTCTACGCTTTAAATCCTGGTAAGTTTGAAATTGACTTTGAGAGTTTTGGGACTTACGTACCCTCTCAAGAGGACAATATTTATCTATTTACAAATCAGTTAACTCTAGATGAACCCTCTGCTTTGAAGCATAAAAAGTCTGCTGTAAAACTACAGACCACAAAAGTGCTGACTGACTGACTGAGTTTGGTTTTACGCCGCTTTTAGCAATATTCCAGCAACATCACGGCGGGGGACACCAGAAACTGACAGTCTCTAAACATACTATACTACAAAAGTTTAGACTCACTTGTGTAAATGTAAGCACTTACTTCAGTCAACTGTTCTAAACTAGATTTTGCAAAACATTCCATACTGGTTGAAGGTACTGTTTACACATGAACGGATGTATTGTAAAACAAATTCGTAACGTTGAAAAGAGTATTGTCATGAGTTCAATAAATGATGAAACTCAGAGAAAATTGGCGAATTCTTAACAAAACATTACACCAAATCGCCGCTGTTTACATGCACAATATTTGCACATGCTTTATCAATTTGATGCATGATCCTCGTGCAATTCATTTGCATACGGTTTGCAGTTGGTTCCCCCCAGGTTAGTGGAGAAATCAATCTTCGATGTAACCATACATATATACATAACATATAGTGAGTCTAAACTTTTGATGGGTAGTATATTATGCATATGCCTTGTAGATACAGCGATACTTCCAAACAATCTACAACATTAGACCAATCACTTAAAACTTCTTCCTCCACATATCCTCCAACAAAGGAGTTTCCTTTTTCTGTTCCTTAATGGTTCTGCCTCTCTTGATCCCAGTACTGAAAATCAGGTCTTTGGAAGTGTAAGTGGTGGACTCACTGTTGCCCCTGGCCAGTCTGGCGTGATCATGGTAGCCCAAGCTTTCTGTTCTACCAACACATTTAGAACTTCAGGTGGTCTTTGAATGCACGCGCGTGTAGTGATATTGTCTGACAAAACTAGTATTACTTTCCCTCGTATAACACCTTTGAAATTCTGTAAACCTATGACAACTGCAGGGAGTTCTCTGTAATTTGAATTATTTTTGGCTGACTTCCACTGACCAATAGTCTTTGGTTCGTATTCCAAGTAGTGTGGCACCGTACCCACTCTGGGAAGCGTCCGTTTATAGTTCGCCGTCAACTGTAGCATTTAGGAATCAAACTGATACCGTTCCATCCCACTGTGCATTCTAACCACCACTGAAGATTTTCAGTTGCATCACTAGTCCACTCTAATCTACTGTACCAAGATAAACGAGATAAAAGACTATAATCTCCCCCTAAGCCGTAGCGTACCTGGAAACACTACCCTACCATCTATCCTGGCTGAAAACCGAGCACTTGTCTGTAGGGCACTGACGGGTAACCAAAATCGGACTCGAGTATCCGAAAATTCTAACATAAATTTTAGTGAGAGCTACGTGCGTCTGTTTTAGGTAGTTTTCAATGAAATTTCACACAAGAATGCCGCACTTATAAGTTATAACGTCTGTATTGAATTGAAAACTGACACGAAATCTTTCCTTAAAACACGTGGTTATCAATTTGACGAAACACAAACCTAATATCATTGACTTGTTTGACTAGCATTGGTCTATGCAGGGCCACATTACTCAACTGAGCATAGGCGAAAACAGCCCATAGCAGAAACCAGTTCATGTGAAGTATAGCGCAACATGTCACAATGGTTATGAATATACAAAATCAAGTGTTTGAAAAGCTTTGAGACTAGGGTATCAATGAGGTTCAACCCACAATGCAGAGAACAAAGACTCAGAAAAACAAGCAATTGTCAAAATCAGAACATTTATCAAAACACATTTCGTTTAACCAATATCAAATGTGAATTTCTTTGAAAAGATTGCGCATTGTAACAAAGTGCATCATGGACGATCCACCACGCGTCTAGTGGCAAAATTTTAGATCTT